ACTACATCCCTTGTCATAACTCGACTTCAAATCTCTTAGTGTAATTTGGTTTCACACCCGTTATCTTATCATGATGTCATATCCTTTATTTTACCATGTTACTACATCCCTTGTCATAACTCGACTTCAAATCTCTTAGTGTAATTTGGTTTCACACCCGTTATCTTATCATGATGTCATATCCTTTATTTTACCATGTTACTACATCCCTTGTCATAACTCGACTTCAAATCTCTTAGTGTAATTTGGTTTCACACCCGTTATATCCTCTGTTTTTACACAATTTACCTTTTTAGTGACCCCGAACTTTTGAATGTAAAAAGTGTTCTTTTTTTTTAAATAATTCGAAGGAAAACTTGCTAACTTTTAGAATACTGGTGGTATGATAAGTATTTGAAACTTGCAGCAGAAAAAACGAAGCACTTTTTATCTATGAAGTTTTTCTCTTTGACATCTTATAAATAATAACCAACAACTTAGGTTGATTTGTTCTTCTTGTACTTTGCAGGAACTTCTGCAAGCTCGAAGTCTGTCAGGCAAGGGCAGCTGAAGAAACAGGCTGTGCCGAACCCGCCCAATACATCATTGAGAACAGTCTGGGAGTAGCTCGTGTTTTGTTACAAAAGAAACATAAGGTAAACTGTGAGAATTACGATACCACTAAGTGCGGCCGATCATCAGTTTCACAGGCCACCGGCTTTACAATCGTGTTACTTCTTCTGCTCACTAGGTGGTGCCTACAGTAGCCTATCTAGGCAAGTGATCTGTCTGGAAAAAACTGACTGAAAAGCTCTGACACTCAATCAGATGTGATTTTACACGTAATGAAATGGTGGTTATTAATTAATTAGTCTGTTACAGGTTTAAAGACGCGTAAGTTCAAAAAGAGCCACGTTTGTCGTATGGATACAGTACAGTTAGATGGGACAAGTAGCTAGTGACACCTATCAGAAAGAATAACACAACGTGAAGTGACGAGAATTTTATAAATGAAGTTCATTTTATTTTTATCTGACTTATACTATTTAGATTATCCACTTTTCTGCTTATAACATTCTAAATTATTCTATTGATATTGCCGTCTGAAGGATATGAATTTAGTAGTGGGCTTAGTTCTCTTTTAACATTTTTTTTCCTTTTATTATTTCGATGTCATTGTTACAGCAACGCCACCGTACTTTGTATGAATACGTCAGAACAGTGTATACTGCATGTGAAAATGTGGGATTTTACTGCTTAACCTTTATGTGTTGTGATATACACGTTTATCATATACAGTGATCTTCAACCAATCTTATAATATTATTACTGTTAAGATGATTATTACCGAAATTAACACGTGACTGGTAGTTCTCTTTCATTATTGTTTCGTATTTAGTTACTATTATCTGTTAACATTAGGTACGCTACATAAATTGGAAAATTGTTTTGTCACTTCTGTTTCTGACTTTATCGAGGTATAACCATGCATGTATTTAAGCCAAAGGTCTGAGCTGTAGCTAAAAGATTAGCTTAAGCCTATCAGTGTGTTATATAGAGAACATTTATGTATAGTTTATCACAAGAAACAATAAAGATCGTGTTGTCATTTTATAAAAGAAACAACTTATGTTATTTTTTCTGACTCGTCATTTTGTTTATTTTGTTAATGAACGTTTAACAGAACCTGGCAGTTAGCCAGATTTTTAACATAACGTACTAATATCCTAAATTAAATCAAGTTATGTGTTTGTCAATTTGTTTGTTTGTCTGCCACATGTCTGAAATTAACAGGACCAAACTTGGCAGGTTATCTCCCCCTACCAGGAGGGAGCTAAGAAGCCCCTCGTAGGTCACCTAGGCATGATGAATATGGAATCATGGTGTTCATGGCCCTCCTCAAGATTACTGGGGCGCCATGTTTGAAACTGTGTTCATGCCCCCTCGTACAACCTAGAGAGACTGAACGTGGCACAAGTGTTCAGATATCACAGGCGGATGTCTTAACGGGGTTTGTTTTTGGGTATGAAAACCCCCACCCCTTTTGAGTGGTACATCGGGGCCTCTGTGAATCATGAAGGGAGTCCGTTGTGGCTGGGGGTCTTGTGTGGTTTCCGTTTTCTATGGGTATAACTGGAGGGCTTGTATTGTTTCCGTTGTCAGAGGGTATGGCTGAGGTCTTGTGTGGTTTCCGTTTTCTATGGGAATAACTGGAGGGCTTGTGTTGTTTCCGTTGTCAGAGGGTATAACTGGAGGGTCTTGTATTGTTTCCGTTGTCTAGTGGGTATTGGCTGGGGTCTTGTGAGATTTCCGTTTTCTATGGGAATAACTGGAGGGCTTGTATTGTTATCATTGTCGATGGGTATGGCTGGGGTCTTGTGTGGTTTCCGTTTTCTAGGGGAATAACTGGCGGGTTTGTGCTTGTATTGTTTCCGTTGTCAGTGGGTATGGCTGGGGTATTGTGTGGTTTCCGTTTTCTATGGGAATAACTGGAGGGCTTGTATTGTTTCCGTTGTCAGTGAGTATGACTGGGGTCTTGTGTGGTTTCCGTTTTATATGGGAATAACTGGATGGCTTGTATTGTTTCCGTTGTCAGTGAGTATGACTGGGGGCTTGTGTGGTTTCCGTTTTCTATGGGAATAACTGGAGGGCTTGTATTGTTTCCGTTGTCAGTGAGTATGACTGGGGGCTTGTGTGGTTTCCGTT